ATAAGGTGCATATGCTCACCAGAGAGAGAAAGTGAGAAATCTCTCCCTAGGGGAGATGGCCACACCACAATCCCTTCTCCTCCTTTATCCTCTTGAGATCTTGGACATGCATGCACACACAGTGATTTTCAAGCCTCTGGGTCCAAGACTCAAGTTGGCCATGTGGGATCTAGTGCCTTAATCTGTGCACTACCTGCCATCCATGTTCCTGACATAGAGGGTGAATAAACATGGAAACCAGTGGTTCTCAGCTAGAGCAATCGCACAACACCTGCGTAGGGTGTCTTTCAGAAAGTTTGAATTGACTTTTTCATTGTCGTAATGTTTGGGATATACTATCGGCATTTAGTGGATGGGAACCAAGTCAGATAAATATCTTGCAATAGTTGGAACAGTACTGCGTAAGAATGACCCTACTTCCTGCCTGACTTGCCCATGACTCACTGATGTAGGTGAAACTTGTTTCAAATTATTTGAATCTGTAACTCTTATTTGAAAATTATAAATGTTATTTTGTGTGGTTTAAATAAATACCAGGGGAATTTGAAGGAAAGTACTTCTTTGTTCAACTCACTATGATTTGTTCATTTATGAAGATTGTATCATTGACAACATCTACATCCTCCTGCAGTTATAGCTGTTACAGTCATAGTGATTTTGCCTGTAAGTACAAAATACCCATATACTTCACTGAGCCTCCTACTGGGTTATTGGGAAAGTTGTGATGCATTTTTGCATGGAAAGACAGAAAAATACATCGTGATTTTCCCAATAACCTAATAGTTTAGCAGCACTTGATCATTTGCATATTGATATAATACTGTTGAACTATAATTTACTTTCTCCAAATTTCTCATTTACATTACAGTTAGGGTATCTTATTGACTTTTTAAAAGAAATTCTGTGTGGGGGCAAATTATGTTATCTGTGACTATTATTCCAAGTTATAAAAGGGGCATTGTAAAATATTTGTTATTGTGTTGGATATGATGGGCTTAAGAATGACTATCATACAAACCAGTGATGGTATTGCACTATTAATCACCTTTTATAAGAAGCCCATGAGATTTGTTGGAAAATGCTGTGAAACGGTTCCATCAGTAGAGACATAATATAAGACACATATGTGATGTTATGCTTTTTATTAGCCAAACTTAAGATAATAGAAGACCGCGAATGAAATTACTTTCAGTAATGAGTTCATAATATATTTTATTTATTTAAATATAACTAAATATTTCAAATATGACCATTACAAAAAATACTAAGGTATTATTTTTTTGTTCATGTTATCTGTAAAATATCATACATGTTTGGAACTTACAGGATGTCTCAATTTGGATAAATAATTTGAAGTGAACAGTAGATATATTGACAGCATAGCTCTTGAAGTTCCATGAATAGGAAAATTCTAAGAAAGGGAATAAAATGTGAGAAGTCCCTTATTTATTAACAACAGCAAAAAAACTGCTGCTGCACATTTCCTTTGCCTCTTCTTTTTTGCAGCTTTCAGCTCAAAGTCTTAATGTTCCAGCTCAAACACAGACCATCTGCAGCACAACTTCCTTGCCAGAGGCTGTGTGGAGAGGTGTAGCCCCAGCTCAGTACACACAGCCACCTGTCACAATTCAAAGCTAGAAAGTCAAGAAGGAGAATTCTTCCCTTGACACTTCCATCTTCATTTCCCTCTCCTTTGTCCTCAGTCCTCCAGATCCATCCCAGCCAGACATTCTGCCTATCTCCAAGTGCAAAACTCTTCTCCCAAATAACAAGGCTCCCAAATCACCTCTGTTGTCGGCCTTTCCTACATTACACATCCAGCTTTTGGCTACTCTTCATTGAACTGATGTCTTTGTCATTTCCTTATAATCTCATTCCTAATCTGTACTTTAATGGGCATTACTGCCACTCTAGTCTAGTCAGTAAATTCATGGGCCTTAGAGAGCAACTATAACTAGGTTGAACCCCTGTGTATGCCACTTCAAAGTTAAATTATCTTGAGACATTAAATTCTGAGCTTTAGTTACCTATACAATTTAGGTGAAAATAATACCTACTTGTTAGAATAGTTGTGAGACTCAGATTAGGCATGGGTGTAGTAAACTTAATATAGCACCTTCCAACTAATGAATGGAAACTCTTATTATATTTTCCCCTCTATCTGTAATTCCAGCCATGTGTCCAGATCCTAACTACTTTTCGTAGTTTTGCTCAAGTACCACCTCTTCTCTAAGCCTTTCTAAGACTTATTCTCGTCTTAGAAATGTATTTCTTGAGAACTCTGACATAGACTTATATGATATTGATTTCTAGTATAGGGCACATAGTAGTTATTTGGTAATTCTTTACTTAACTGATGGATGATGAAAAAGAAAAAGAAGGGCTAGTGGTAGCATGGTGGTTAAGGCAGCTGGATCCCACATGACTCACTGTGTGGTTAGAGCCTAGATTTGACTGCTTGAAAAGCACACTGGGTGCATATGTGTGCATGACCAAAATCCCCAGAGGAGAATAGAGTAGAAGAGATTGAGGTGTAGCCATTCTCCCTAGGAGGGTGCTTTTTCACTTTCCCTCTCTCTCTCTTCAGCAAGTGCACATACCTTATTGCCTAAAATAAACACTTAAAATGTTAAAGAAGGAAAAGAAAACTATAGAACATACTGCTTATACTTGATCTACTTTCCTCCAACTCAGCTGAGTTTGTTTGCAATTCCTCAGAAGAAATACATGAAAAGGAGAGAATAATGTTTGGAAAGTCTTAGAGAAGAGGTAGAACTTGAGCGAAACTATGAAAAGTAATTAGGATCTGGACATGTGACTGGAAGTAGGGAAGGAATTATAGAGGACAGTCACATTTGCCAGAAGCTCCCCAGAAGGATGGAGCCCCAGCTGCCTACTATTGTACCCTACTTGTTAACATGCTTTTTATTGGTTTTTGTCTCTTCACGTCTCACATCCCTCACACACACTTAAGATTCCTTAAATCACTTCCCAAGAAAATACCTGCATCACAATGCTTGTCTTTGATATTCTTTTGGGGGAAATCCGAATAAGATAGGAAATAACATTACTGTGTCCCTGTTGTATTCCAAGCACCATTTTAGGATTCTCTTTTTATTATTTTCCTTCCTGTTGTCAACAGTACTAAGGGGTTGGGTATTATTATGTCAAAATGTAACAAAATAGAATGCCAAGTCTAAACAATTAAGTGATTTATATTAAGTAGCAAATCTAGCAACCCAATGCTTCTTGAGGTGCCCATTTCTGAATTACTAATTATATAGAAAAAGAGTAAACCATTTCAGGATAAAGCTAAAAGAAACGTATTTGAAAAAATAGAGTTAAGTAAAATTCAATTTCTTCCTTAGGGTTTGCCAAAATGTGACAAACTAAAATAGAGAAGCAGAATTTAATAAAATAGTGTCTAGAGAGACCTTGTGCATTGAACTCTTAGATGTCATTGAAATCCTTATTTATAGTCCATTATTTTTTTTTTTATTCTGGGAAATAAAGGTGGGAAAATACGGCAGCAGAGAGGTACCTGAATGAGTCAAATTTCATATAGAGGTAGTAGAAGATGAAACCAATTTGGCCTTTGTGGTATTAGAGAAAGAATTAGACAAAGGGGACTTTTCCAAGGGCTCACATACTGTAAAGAAAGGCTTAGATTGATGAGAAAATATTGAGAAAATTTTCTTTTCCATATTAAAATTCTCACTCAAAATTGATATATGTTTTTAATCTTCTCAAGTCAGATGGTTCATCTACTTAAGGGTGATTGAATTATAACTTAAAATGTCAGATCCAATAAATATGGGTAAAAAGATAGCTAGACAAATGTTAAAGGAAGTAAAGGACAAAGAAAAGATTTTTTATATTCAGAAGCAAACATTAGATGGCCAATGCATCATCTAGATTTTTAGAAATTATGTTAGTCAAATTGGAGAAGCTAGAAAAATTCAATTAGAATCAAGAATTATTACCCAATTTAGCTGATGCATGTTACTTTCTGTGGTCCTATGGTCTGGCTGTCAAATCAAGTTTATAATTCTTAAAATAGAGTGATGAGTCTATGTGAGTTAGAGCCTGGTCTCTTCGTAGTAAACAGGATTGAGTCTTCAATTTTCTTGAAGTTTCAAAACACTTGGTATTTATATTAAGCTCTGAGATTATCAGACAAAATTTTTAATAATTTTTTTTTGTTTTTTTTTGTTTTTTGCCATAGGGCACATGCACTCACCAGAAAGAGACATAAAGGGAGGAAAAATGAGAAATCACTCTCTGGGGGTGAGGGGAGGGGATGGCCATGTCACAATCCCTTCTTCTCTACTCTCTTCTTGGCTTGAGGCATGTATGCACATACATCTGGCATGTTTCTAAACCACTGGGTCTGGGACTAGAGCAGTGGTGTTAGCCATGTGGGATTTAGTGCCCTAATGACCACAGCACCTGCTGTCTCAGGTAAGCTTTTATTTTGTATTCCTCTGGAGTTGCCACTGTTTGCTTGCATAAGGTCACATGAAATAATAAAAACCAGTCAACTTGAATGGAGCATTGTAGTTTTATTCCTTCGAATTTTTAGAGGTCTTCATTTGTGTATAACCAGAAGCATTACGTCATATTATTTATTGTAAATTTATTAGCTCTGCTATGAAGTCATTTAGTTTGAACCCTAGAAAAAGCGACTTTTAGCCAACCAAGCTTTTACAGTGTGCCCTGTAATTCGCATTTTAATAAATGTCATTTTCTAAGTGCATTACCTCATGTTTTGGCTACAACCCAGATGAACCCTGAGAGATTAAGAGAAATGTGCTTTCCAACTGATTCATCCATATTTTATTTCACTTTTCATTAAGAAATTACTCTTTGAAGAAAATCAATAATCTTCTGTGACTGAGGGGAGAGGTTAGTGTGTTGCAGTTTGCATTCTAATGTTTCAAATCAAACTGCCTTTAGCCAGCTGTTGTTGATAGAGATTTTGTCCTTTCTTATTTCTACAGCCTGGGTACATGGCGACCCCAGGAGAGTGGCCTATCCTACAGACAGCCAAGGTCACTTTTGTGGCCAGAAGGGCACCCCCAATGAGTGAGTATGGCCACTTTTGCTTTGTGTGATTTTATTGTCTAAGTTGAAATTTAGAAACCACTTTTATATTAATTCTACTTGATTTAAGGAGACTGAAATTTGTAAATGAGACCTTCCTTCCTCTTTAACTAGAGATAACTATAAGTACTTGGAAGTTTCATACTCTGTGACTTGAGATGCAATGTTATTATTGTTATGCAGTATTTTATTAGAAAATGTGGAATCTCTGCTAGGTAAAAATATAATTATAATAGATGGATTGGAGCACTGATTTTATCAGAAGCCATATATTAAAATGTTTTACAAAATGGGCTCTCAGAAGACTGACTTGTGAGTAAACTGCTAAAAAAAGTAGACAGTGCAGTTGTCAGAATTACTTTTGTCATTGTGCCTACCAACAAATCATTTCAAAGAGAAAGGCACATGCAGAAAGTCTTCAATCTCTGGCAGATGTTTCAAGGCATCCTGGCTAATGTGGACAACGCCCCTGAGCAGCTGAGACAAGGAAGAATATTTCATCAAATTCCATCCTTTCTAATGTTTACCATAAGTTTTTTATTCTGAAAGCAAGTTTTCTTTTCTTTTCTTTTCTTTTTTTTTTTTTTTTT